TTTTACTAGTTACGTCACCACTGCGTAATGAGGCCGTTTGTATAAGCTTCGTAAATAATTTAAAGCAGTAAAGGTAAAGTAAATCTGTGTTGGTAATGCCAAAATTGGACACAGAATAATTAGGGAATCATGTGTCCACGAATAAGCGTTCCTTAATTAACCATCGAATTGTACTAGTTGAACTAAAATTGTCGATAATGGATTCAATGATTAGAAACACGTAATTAAATATACGTGGATTTCGTTTGATTTATAACCACAGAGAGGGATTGGCAATTCAGTGTTATAAAGAGGAAATTTTGGCAATTTTGAAGGTTCGTAATTCTATGTTCAATATGGTATTTAAAGTATAACTCAGGGAAATATTACAAACTCAATCTAGACTGGAAGCTACTATGCATTACATTCCTTGCACACAAATAGCCTAATATACCATACAATGTAATTTTGTCTATATTGAATTTATTTTGATATAATGTACGTTTAATTAAATTGGAAGCCACTGTTTTCTGTAAATCTGCACATACATATTTTTTCCATTAAAAGAAAAAATTACAACGCAGAGAAGTCCTACTAACAGCTCTTTATCAGCAAGGCTTACCTCCCACTGAACTCAATAAACGAGATTAATGTTTAAACGATGATCCAGCATAATCGTTGTCCTACAATCTTTTTAAAACTTATTGGCAAATATGCTTTTAACGTCGTCCAATATTGAATATTGTGAAACCGGCTGAATATTTTAGTTGAGCTATATTCACGTCCAGCGATGGTATCGGTATTTCTTCATAATGTAATTGCTTTTAAACTACGCTACAAATTGGTACATCTCGATTGCAGCCAAACTCTAATTGCCTTACCATCAATTAAAAGTTGGTTGGCATTTAGAAATTGCATTTCAGTACACTCGGGTTTAAATCAAATTACACGTCAAAAAACTTTTCTTTATGGAGAGCTTTTACTGTCTCACTATAATTAAGCAATAGAAAGCTCCAGAATACCATTTAGAGGAGGGAGTGCCCACCAAAAAAAGAAACTGAATTCGACATCAAATATGTATAACTCCCTTCTTTATGGGGAACCTTTATTGAGCTTATCAGAATGATTAGACAAGCGCACGACACAGAAATTTCTAGATGCATTGAAACTATTAAGTTACTATCCTTCAAAATATGCGGTGTAAGATGATAGAGCGATCTCTGCACACAAACGAGCGCGTTTATGTCAACGTCGCTGAACGCTTGCAAATTACTACTAAAAATGTTTTGTAGACTCTTAAAAAAAACAATACGATATGAATTCAAGAAAATAATTTCAATAGTGTTAATACTCGCATAAAAAACAAATTACACTTACAAAAGGTCCTGGAATTACTGAAGGAGTGTTTAAAATCTTGAGCAATCTTGGTTGCAAGCGATAGTTATAGTATACAAAACCTTGTTACTTTTTTGTAATATTTATGTATTACCTCATTTACTTATGAAGTAAATTCTCATCTCTTCATATTCGTACATGACTTATGAGGAAGCATAAAATCTTTTAATAATGGTTTGTTAAACAGCTAACTTTATAATGACGCTTAAATTGTCATACTTCCAGTCAATTAAAAACTTGAGTACAAAAGATAATTTTAGGTTCTTGTTATTTGAGAGGTACTCGTATTATAAAAACACACCTTAAATATTAGAATTACTGATATTTTGTTACTTCAAGGATACTACAAAAGATTGCTCTTCTCAATTAAGTCGCATTGGTCTAGTACAAAAAAATGTTTTTTTCTCCTAACAAATGTAGGTGAAGAGCCCCATGGGAGAAGGACAATGTGCTGGTGAGACCACTATTATTGTTGGTGGTAGTAGCCTATTCTAATCGGTAACCTATTCTAATCAGAATAACCGTGGGCTTGTTCGTCAAGTAAGTTGTAGAAAGAAAAAATCGACAAATGTAATGTAAATTTAGGATTCGCAACGTAGAACCATACGTAGCGCTAATGCTACGTCACAGTGATATTTCACAAAATATAGCGTTCCAGGATGTGCGTGTAAACGGTGTGTATGTGGGGTGTGACGTGGCATCGGCATGTCTCGTATGTAGTGATAAGCGTGATTGATGACGTCATGGGTGGCGCGCCAACATTCGTCCGCGGCTGACATTACCCTACTTGTTGAACGTTACCACCGACCTATAACGTCGGTTTGAGAGCCATATATCTATATCCGTGGCGTCAGCGTTATTGACTGACAGGTCATATATTCCCGTGCTTACACGCGCTCACGATATTTCATAAATGCCAATCTTAGTGGCATGATGATTCCATCTAAATAGGAAAAAAATAAAGAATCGAAAGGTACTTACGCTTTGATAAAGAGAATGTGTGGATAATATTCTTATTCAACCCGCTGAACGTAAAGCGGTATATGTAACTACTTATAATAACAGCAATTTCGCTTTTTCTTTGCCAATGGAGGTCTTGTTCTATTTATACTGAGAACGATTGAAAGGCCAGAACGCTTCGTTAGGTACTTTAAAGCGCCTGATAGCATGATCAAAATCTATTCCTAGCTAAGATATATCATTTACACATTATTTTTAAGTGAATATTACACTTAAAAAAAGTAACACAGACTAATTTAAAATGTTTTTTACTCTTTGAAATTAGTATAAAAATAATCCTTTTAGAAAAACCGTTTTATAAACTAAAATGTATCTTTCATTGATAAATGAACAAACGTTTGTTGGGCATCACATGTCTACCAGCATAAAAAAATTGCGGCGATTTTTTCTCACGTAAGCTTAAAAAGGTTAATGGTAGTATTTGTATGATATATGTTTAATGTTTATTTGTGCTGTTTTAAATATATGGAGGAGCGTTATACGAATTATTCGGACAAACGAATGTCGCCTCCAGTGCTAAATAAAGGCTTGACAAATAGAACTCTGTTTATCTATCACAAACTTTGGTTTTAACAAATTATTTTGGAATACTAATGTCATCTATGGAAGCTGTACGAAATAAACTTTTGTATTGTGTTGTGTTGTAACAAATGTATTGTATTTTAATTTGAACTAGATATTTAAGAGAAAGCGTTGATTTAATTACAATTTTATTATTTTTTAATAATAATAATATATATATATATATATATATATCTCACACATCTCATACACGGCCGTCTGATCCCAAACTCGGTAGAACCTGTACTATGGTAACCAGACTGCTGATAAACATACTTATATATATTTTTAAATATGTAGATACATATACATAAACTACACCCAGACACAGAACAAATGACCGTGCTCATCACACAATATTTGTCCTTAGTGGGAATCGAACCCACGACCTCCGGTTTAGCAGTCAGGGTCACTAACCACTAGACCAACAGGCCTGTCATAATGTTAGTAATAACTCGATAGTGTTGGAAAACTTGTAATGGGAGATTAACATAAAGAACCGTCTTTCTTCCTGCTTCGATTAATATTTTACTATGCAGTTTAATTCAGTATTCTATCAATACAAATTTCCGTTAAATGTAAAAAAAAAAGCATTTAATTGAACTCCTCCCCCTCCCCTCCTATCAGCAATTCCTACCACCAAAATATTTTAAAATTAGATCTAGCTTTTGGAATTATAGACGCAGTCATCTTATTTCATCTTATGTATTAGTTTTGCTGATTAAAATTAAAAAATGAATAAAATTAAATAAGCTTGTTGAGTGTGTTTGCACTGCTTGCTGAAACTAGAAGATATGAATAAGTGCTATAAAAATGGTCATCGTTTTACCTTATCTTAATGTATACTAACACAAAACTATGAAATGATATTAAAATCTTCACTTTAATCGGTATTTTATTCAACAGTAAGCGTCCGAGAGCTTTACTCGTACTTTAAATGTCATAGAAGATAAAGATCGCGCTGACGATTGTCCACGCTTTCGAATTAAGCGGAATTACGCTCTAAAGCGATAAACTTGTTGAAATCTCACTCTCCAATGTACTCTCGCTACTAAATTCACATCTTTTCTACTGTATTTATTTTGTACTGAGACCTCACTGTAATTCGAATTGTCCTTGTATTTTAATTTTCCCGAGTCTTGTTTAACTATCAATCTAATAGTCTACTACGAGAATATCAAAATCTAAAATATAAGAAAAATATTGTTGACCTAGGCAGTTCGATTTAGCCTCTGTATAGATATATAGTTTAGTTTAAAATTAGTTTAAATTTTGCATATTACATATTTATTTCTAAAAACAAAAAAAAACATTATCCTATTTATTTATTTACTATTTCCTACTTATTTACAAAAAAGCATTTGACAATCTACAAAAAAAAACAAGATTCTTTTTTTATAAAAGGACCTTATTCTCTGTACAATTGTCATGGTGGTGTACGTCTTAATTAATACAAGCTACATAATTAATGGTTTCGTTGGCTAAGTACAAATTTATTTAACGAAGTATAGCCAAAGCTTTACTCAAAATGGAGTGGTTATTAACATAACATTCTCAGATAATTAATTAAACAGTCAACGTCTAGCAGGTAATTTTACATGTATAGTGTTATAATTCATTTTAATTAACGGATCTATGCAACCAAAACACCTCCGTCTTCGAAATGACTGCTTAAACATCACAGATGTTTTGCTAGTTAGAAAACTTGATATAGAGTTTAATGAGCATTTTCAGACGAATGTTAATCTAATGTTGTTTTATTACTTACTTAACATGGTGTAAGGCCATTTTAAATTAAAGATTAGCTTTATTAAATACGAGTATATACCAGTTGTATCTATTCTTTAAATCACTACTGATCTTGCTTTAACTTACCCCGAGTCTGCTTGCCCAACCAATTACTTGTGTGATTCAATGTATGTGAATGCGTTTCTTGCATATTTGACACCCACTGGAGATATTCCCACAGTTCGGGAGTTTTCTGAAACTATAAAGCTATTATGCGTGTATACTGTTATCTAACTCATGTTTTTCTATTGTTGCAGACATGTCTCCGAGCGGAGTATTCGCCTTAGCACTGTGCGGTTTCGCGGCGATCTGCTCTTTATCTGTCACTAATGCCCAGGCGCTTGCCTCGCCATACGACGGTGAGTGTCTTATAAGTTTAATTTAAATATCCAAAGTGTTATGGCAGAATTCATATAATCCATAAAAAAGTCACTTTGTAATTCAAACGATAGATACTCTTATCTAGTTAGGTAAACACTACGGGATACTAAAAAATCTTAGCGATTAACAAGAATAATAAAAATGTAACACAAATTATTAAGTTGTAGTTTTTGTATATAAAAAATCTAAGCTAGTTAACACCTTAATATAATTTAAAACTAGCTGGAATATTGTTACAAACGCATATTTTTAAAAATTATTACAGGTCTAACTATTACGTTTAAGTTTATTTCACTGAACTATTGTGATAGAACCTTGAGAATTTTCCAATGCAATGTAAGAAAGAATTCTGATCAGAACATAAATAGTTATAGTCATACAGACAGCATAATCTATTTTAAGCGATTTTTTAATTTGCTAATGGGTGTAAAACATATGTTTGTGGCACCTTTTCGTTGACATCAAAGGTTTCATTAATTTTCAGCATGATATATAAATGTAACTATCTTCCTTAGTTCAGTGGTTTTGAGCAGCTGTTTAGCTGGTTATGGTTAACCCACCTCTATGTACTTTAAAGTAAGTTATAATCTTCAGAGAGTCGTTAATATTCTGTATCGACGTTCGCAAACTGCGAAAATCATGTTTATTAATGCCCTCATAATTACCAACCCTGAAGTTACAAGTTTTGGTTTTTAAGATCAAGTTATCAAAAAGGATAATACAATTTTATCTAAAATAAAATTAGTATTTAAATTTAATTTAAAAAAATAACAGTTTTTTCATAAATAAAACACTGGGTAATACTACTATGAAATAAAAAAATTCTTTCTTTCATCAATTATGTTTTTATAAAACGAGTTGTCTGTTTTTAAAAAACGAAGGCTGAAACTAAACACGTACAAAAAAAAAGGAAAAATTATAACCAACGGCAGATTACTTTAATTTAATCATGCTAAATATAAAAGATTCTTAATTTAGATTAAACGGAATCATGCTAAATATAGAACATTCCTTATTTAGAATAAATGAATATCCTTTATTATCTGGAAGGTTAAACGTTTCTGTATCACCATACAAACAACTCTGCTTACATTATCCCTTTCAAATTAAATTAAGCGTGTTTATCTAAGTTTAATACGTTCGCACTTTGTTTGAAATAAACGTTGGAATTTGGCAATGTTTATTTCAAACAAAGTGCGAACGGTTTGTCTTTGGATGGTTATTTTTCTCTTAAAAATTCTACTATAGCTTATTAATATGTAGAATAGAAGATGATAGAAAATAATGTGTACTAAAGAAAGTTAGAAGTGAGAATGATATCTCCATATTTGTCGAACATGTTCAATTTTCGTTAATATTAGTTAAGATAATTATTTACATATAAATTACCGATGTCAAAGGTAAATACATCAAGCATTTAATATCACGATCACAATCGAATACACGTTTCAAACTTGCTAACGACAACACGTAACTTATTAACTGGAGAATCCAGTTATTATGGTGATTATGAACTCAATAGTTTGCTCAATTTTGGAGACACAGTCAAGCGCAGTCAAGTAGCAGCAGTAAAATATTAATTTTACGAACATCTCTTTCATCCAACATGCCAATGGAAATGTCGAATAAGGCAACATGTCTCTCAGATCGCTACTTAGAGAGTTTAAACATTCAAATTCAAATTCAAGTCAAAAAACCTACAACAATTTTAAAATAGTATTTAAAATAGAGTAAATAAAAGAAAATATTTTATTTTATTAATTATTAAATCATTAGAATACCAATTAACGTGTTTTAATGCGTGGTAAATTGTAATCTACAAGTCATCAATACTCTTAGGGAACGGAAACTTTAAACATTTCAGCTTCTCCTACTATTATACCTTCTATTAGCGATTTCATTTCCACGAATAACTCCCCAAAGCCCAATTTGAGTCATAAAATTAATCAAACAGTCACCGGAATATCCGAGAGATTTGCATAATTGTAAACCTATTATGTTTTAAACGAAATTAACAACCTCAACATTAAAAACATTTAATTCCTTTAATATAATATGAGACGAACCATTTCAAAGTTTCTTGCTTTAATTTGTGTTACATGAACCCATTTCTGACATGAGTATTTATTATACGATACTGGCGTTTTTCATTGATAAAAGTATTTTATATAATCTACAGAATACCATTTTAAATAAACGCGGTCATCCTGCAATTATAAACAACACCAGGATTGATTGCTAACTAATGCCTCTTACAAAAAGTCATCAAAAGGGGATTAATAAATACGTTGTTGTTTTGTAATAAAATACGTGACTGAATTTAACATAAATATAAATTGAATAAATGTTAATTTTAAATAACAGAGATAGAAAAGAATTATCGTCACTGCCTTAATAATTAGAGCGCTGTTCAAAACAACCTGTAGGTACGTAGATTTAGCGGACTTTCACTTAAATCATGAATTAAGTTTCGGTGATTTACCAAGTTTGTATTAATATATATACACACATATATATATGTATATATTTGTCAGCTCTTAAAATATAAGGAATCCTAACTCTCATTTCCGAGGTAGTTGACAACGTTGATATTTAAACCAATGCGATTGTGCAATCTTGATTCCAAATTCAACAAATATCTCCTTACATTTGTAAATATTATATTACTGGTGATTTACCAGTATTTATAATAATTCTACTTCTAAGTAACAATCAAACCCGATGTTGCAAACGTTGCAATAATTTAAGCAGAAGGATAACTTAACAAAAACACGTCTTAGTTAAATAGCCCGTCGTTACTTTAAAAATAATGAGGCAGACGTTTTAAAATATCCATTAAAGCTTTCCTGTAATTTCCTACTTATAAGGCAAGATTGTTATCTTTCTTACGAGCGAAGATTATTATCATCTTAAGCTGAAACCGTTATACTTAATCAATTATGATGGGCGACACGTTGTATCCATAATTTGTCATTTAAATCTTGTAAAATTTTATTTTATGAAACCTTCCCACCTGGGTAAGGTTCCGCTTCAATTCAAAAACAAATTTGTCCCTAGCATGGTAAAAATGGAACAACTTTAATCGAGCTATTACAAGAATAGCTCGATTAAAGTTATTACAAATAAAAATGTACTTACATCTCGGTTGAAAGCGGTTTTAAAAACTTGGACAAATTTTGTGTTCACACAAAATTGTGAAAAAAAAAGAAACGGGCGAAGTTCGGTTGAACAAGTACTAATAAATAAATAAAATACCTTAATTTGTAGTTTGCTCTGTTTTTAACAGATTTAAAAAAAGGAGAAGGTTCTCAATTTGATTTTATTTTTTTCACACCAGTTCCACAGAACTCAGTCGTTTATGAACTGATTTAGTAAATTATTTTATTTTATTTTGGGAAGCTATAGTTTCTTATTACCTATTCCTAAATTTAAAAAAAATAGCCTCTAACGATTTGAAATCAATGAATAAGGTATACAGCTGTGGAGGGATGCGGAAAATGTAGCAAAGAAAGTGTTAGGTATTATATTTAAGGGTACAAGAGAAGAGGAAGAAAAGGTGGATGCACTGTGTGAGTGAGAATATGGCTAGGCTTACTCCCTAAACAGTGAGATGACGAATGATAGAGTAAAATGGAAGAATCATATTTACTGCGCCGCCATTTTTTCGTGCGGAAATCCCCTCGGATACCACCTGTCGGTGGCATGTCGGACTCGAACCGACTACAACCGCACGCCGACTCGGGTACTAATAGCCGACATAACTGCGCCGACCCCTAATAATTTTTGGATAAGGGTCGGCAGGTAATGATTGTTAGAGTAAGCATTATATTTTATTATCATTTATAAAGCAAACCCGAAGATGCAAGAATTCTTTGTTAAACAATATTAACTAGTACGGGTTTAAGTGTGTAAGAGAGAACTAAATTGAGACTTCTGACTAATGGCAACTCAGTTAAAAGCTCTGTCATTCCTGGCTTGTTTGAGATATCAAACTTTGAGTATATCCCAAATTTCATTATTACTATCCTTTTGTAATCAGTAATATAGTAGTGTGGCATAGTGATATATATTACGAAATACAAGGTTATTCCAATCATTGCTAACTTCAATTGTGGACTATTTTGTCAGACTAAATACCCGCGGCTTCGCTGTCGTAAATTCATAATCCCATATGGAACAATACTTTTTTCGGGAAAAAAGACATTATAAAAAAAACATACAGATTATACAGCGTGCAAATATAATGATATTTCTAGTTTCAGCTACAAAGTGAATTTGAATTTATAATTTAGAAAATTACGCTTAAAGAACTATTTACAATTGAGTAAAAGTTAATCTTTTTCTTGAAATTAAATAATGCTACCAAATATTGTTAACACATTTAAAAAAAAAAGTGATTTACCGTATCCTTTTAATTAATTAGGACACCATTTTTATTTTATATTTAATTTTAATTAAAATGCAATATTCAATAGCAAACGAAAAATAATGTAAAAAGTTGATTATAAAACACTTAAAAAAACATGGAATTTAATCAGGAGATTGATTATCCTATAAGTTTAATTATGATCCGTGTTATTCAACTGTAAGCATACGAGATTAATGCTACCATTTTCGTAGTTACCGACCCATAAATCTAAGTGGTAAGTTTCATATACATTCTGATATTCATGAAGAAGAAGTAAGACAGTCAATAACTTGATTTTGACAGTAAATTCTAAGTTGAAGCTTAATTTCCTGTATGTATTTAATGACAACTTGTAAACGATTTACAACTGTCAGATGAATATTGAGTATTTCAAGAAAGTTTAAAAGTGGCCAAAACTTCAACATGTATAAGTTTTGGGGCTAACAAAGCAACACAACTATTAAGGAGTTGTTAATCTTTTTTTATTGCGGTCACTAAGATAAATTTTAATGACAAGTCGGCACTGAAATATATAATACGAGTATGTAGGGACTGATCAGTTATTAACAACTAATGTGAATTCAGAATATGTTGTTATCAACTATCCGCGAATTCTTAAATCTTTATGAGTTTGATATAAAATATACATTTATAAATACATTAATTGATTAACATCAGAGATAGAGAATTATTATAACGCACTAAGTCGTATTAATTTGTCGCATCATTTTAAATAAGGTCACAAACAGAAGATTTCTTGCACACGGTGTGAAATAACTAGTACCGGGGCGCAAGGAGCTAATATTTCCCTAATTTTAACACCATCTTAGAGATGAACCATCTTTCATCACTATTCCCTTAGTACGTCTACGTCTACGTTCTACATAAAGATTTGTAGTACTGGTAGGGTTATACTAATAGTAAGTCACAGTCGAGACAGATATCATCATCACGTCACATCAACAGCCTTTAACAGTCTACTACTGGACATAGGCCTCTCCTTAGAAAGGAGGCTTTGGCCTACTATACCACGCTGGCCAGTCGAGTTGGTACAGGGTTTGTGTCAAGTTTTTCTTCCCTTGGGAGTGCTATTGCCCTGAGTAGTTTTGTTTCTTAGACGGCTCTTACGACACCCACAGGATGAATAGGGGTGGTCACACTCCGTAGTCTTAATCCGTCACTACACGGACAAGAGTCTGATATATTACAATGTAACGTACTGGTTATGGTCAGAATGTCTGTCTGAAGAGCTGCTACTGAAGACTACTTACGTATGAGTATAGCTATGTATAAAAAAAAACCCATACATATAGTGGGATCTGATTAGTATTGTTGGATTAAGGAAAAGCGCCGTTTAAATGGCCCCGAGGGTCGGCGAGTGGTTGGTTTGCCCCAGTTTTATGTGTAACTAATTTGGTTTAACTCACTACTTACTTTTATTGGCAAAATTTCTGCCTTATTTGTATTACCGATAAATTCTCTCTTTAAACAGGATAAAAACATTGTTAGTTATTGAGAAAATTTAAAATGATTATTTATTTTATTCTTTTCACATCTGTTTGCCTAAATTTATAAAAATTAAAATTAATGAACGACAGCAATCTTTACCTTGAAAATTGTATATCATTATAATGCCTTCACAATATATTACTTCAAATAATATAAATGATGAATGGTTTTTAGTTGAAATAATACATAAATACAGTTAAATATTATACATCGACCCTTTAACAGGCGATATTAATATTATTCAAGAAAACAAAACGATTTTTTCTTCATACTTTAATCATTGCTTTCATGCATCAAAAACCAGGTAACCCACTATTTATTTAATGACGATATTGAAATAACTCTTGTCCCATTTGTCACATCGGCCTATTGAGTAAGGCAAAGTAAGGATAATGTCCAAGTATTTACACGGTACCTAATTGTGGTTGTATTGTTATCAATCGCTTTGATGACTTCTGTTATGTTATAACGATAAATTTACGAACTTTAATTAATAGTACTCAGTGTTCGTTTAGATTAAATCTGTAGTTTCTATTAATTCATTATTTCGTAGGATACAGTTTTTAGTATTCATATTTATAAAACAATTATTAAAGAAGGAAGTTGGCGTTATGAAAAAGATGTATGCAAAAAACACGGAGTGGGCAAGCTTACGATTAAAATGGAATGAAATGGTCTTAAAGTTGGCAACGCTGGTGTTTTCATTAATAGTATCAATTCAATCATTCATAGTAGTATCAGCAGGAAGTATGTACCAAATATTTCATAGTAGTATTCATGAAGTAGCTAGGTACATAGCTTACTTCATTCTTTGTGATTTATATATATACATTTTACTAATTGAGTCAAAAGTTTTTTTGTGTTTGTGTCCTTTGTAGAATAAAGAGAATTACACTTTTACCTATTTATATTACATTCCATGAAACATGTCATTACTTATAAACGCAGAAACATATTTTTGTGAGGTCTCTATTTTAGGTGAATTTTGTTTTGAAGCCTTTTGCTTTGGAGTATAATTTTGTTATTTTAAACTTTTCATAAACACTTAAAAATGTTCATAAAATGTATTATACAGGTATATCGTACTATGCTTGAAAATTTACATACTGTACCTACAGGACCTAAGTTTTGTAAGATCACAGTGAAGGTTTACCAATTTTTTACTCGAATAGGCACAGAATAAACTATAATGAAGACGCGTCAGTGTAAATGTCACATCGATGTCAGGGACACTGTCCACGGCTCAGTGCGCGCCGACCCTTAGTCGCTGAGTCTTATGGAGGTCCTAATTTTATAATACATTACTTCCATGTTTACCGGAACCCTTGCGAAATTGAAAAACTTGATTGCTTATTTTTGATATAATACTAAGTAACTATGTGTTTCTTGTTCTTAAACTAGTTGACTATTTAATAAACAGAATATAAAGTACGTAGTACCTAAATAGAATTAATAAAGAATGCAGTATGAAAAAAAGAACTTAGATCCGAATCTAGGTAATAACTTTACCAAACCGGGGGACATGGCTAATATGTCATAAATAAGGAAAGTCACGTTCTAAATAGTTTCTCCTTCATGTCGCATAAACTTTATGTGTTCGACACACTTCTGATAAAGCTTTAAACAAGTTAAACAATCACTTCGTATATTGCTCATGTGTGAAACTTTTGTATTGTCCCAAAACGCTTATCCAATAAAACTCGTTACGTAACTTATATTACTTAATTTAGTTTAATGTAATAATTTAGATTAATAAGAAAGTTAACGTTTTCGCATAGTCAAACGAAGTTCGATTCGGTCTTGAGTAAGTTCAAATTAATTGCAATAGTTTAATCAATCAGCGTAGATTTGTAACTAACTTTTACCCACGACATTACTAGTATCATCTACAGCCTTTAATAGTCAACTGCTGGACATAGGCCTTTCCTTAGAAAAGAGTCACATTACTAGCATTCGAGTTTTTTTTTATTCATTAGAAATGATCCTATCTTCCAGATGAAAGCTACATTATAACGTTCCTGTACTACTAGAGCGTAATCAGTAAACAAACTCAAATTCGCATTCATAAAAGTTGTTCCCATGATGTAGAAGATTGGAGATAGATAATACTTTGTTTTATTTGTGCAGCATCATCAGCTATGTCCGACAGCCGGAGCGGATGGGACGCGTTAGGAGGACTCTACGCGCTGCTGGCACAACACGACGCTCTTGGCGGCCACGCACTTGCTCGCAAATCTGTTAGATCACCCTCTCGCCGCCTTCGTTTTGGACGTCGTTCCGATCCTGACATGCCTCCCCAGGCTCCCGTAAGTAGTAGTAGATTTTTTGTGCTATACTTCATAGGTTGATTTAGTAGATCATGGTTACCTAAAATGGCATACGAATTCTCTGTATATTATAGTTTTAGCTGAAAATAACCTTAATCTTCAAACACGAAAATCAGGTGTGATAGAATTATGTACTATCGAGGTCGACTAAAACGATGGCGGAATAAAAGATCCAAATTGACAATAAAAAAAGGAGTAACAGTGACGCACGACACTCTGTCTTGTCCTATTTTAACTCATTGTTTTCTGTCCAAAAAGCTAATATAAAATCAGTTCAGTTGCATCTAATTTAAATAAAGCTATAAAAAAAATAAAGTATGTAAGTTGAGTTTAACATTATAATATGGATATTAGTATTCGTAGAAATATAAAAAATGTAATTAATCTGTAAAAGCAATGAGATGTTTATGAGACTTTGTGACTGGAACTCATAACACTCGTCGTTACTACTGTCTTTATTGCATTGTATGTAGATCATTGATTATTTTTTATTATAAGTAGACATACAAACCTACTTCTATATTTTGTAGGTTGTGTAGTTTAGTTATTTCCTTGGCCAGAAATAAGTAATCAATGGCAATACAAAAGTGATATAGACAATTCTATATCAGTAATAGTTTAAGACGACTTGTGACGTATTTTGTGATGATTTGTGTTTCAGAAATCTTGGTTTTGTTTGTGTCATTTAGTAACGACTTTCAGTTCCAATCCATGTGTAAAAGTTCCTTATATTTTTTATTGTGAGGAGAGTCCCATGGGTCATTACTACTTATCCACCTGTTCAACACGTCGAACCCCCGTCTTGGGTCCGTTTCTACAAGGCCATAAAGAAGTCCTTACTGAATGATAAATAAATACCTACTACCTACTACTTAAATAGATATTTATTTATGTAGAATTTTTTTGTACCGCGTTTTATACAATTATGGCTCACTTTTTATATAAATATATTATATTTGGATATGAAATATATAGAGCTATATGAATAAGAAATGCAGAAAGCTAAATATTTAAAAAAATATGTTTTATAAAATAGAAGTTATGTTCAAACGGCGTAAAATTGTTGGGGTCCAGTACATGTTTTGGTCTGTCAAGTTACGAAAAACTATACACTAACAATACAAGTTATATTGATAAAAAAAATTTACAATCAAAACGACATTCCACTGTCAGGCCATCTCTAGTCCATATAAATTTATACATTTTCTAAGGAGAGGCCTATGTCCAGCAGTGGACTAGTATAGGCTGTTGATGATGATGTTGATGAATCTTCACAAATCTGATCATTAATGGGATACCTTGCATCTCGCAAAATTTCACATTTGTAAACCTCACATCTTAATATAATGCCAAAACATAATTCTTAATCTAATATAATCTTATAAATACATTGGAAAGATTGCGAGAATTACTTCAATTTAAATTCCTCTTAAACAGCGTTTCATAGTAGGCCAAAACCTCCTTACTAAGGAGAGGCTGTGCAGAAATGATGATGATAAAATTCCTCTTTTAAGTACATAAAGTAATAAAGAGGTAGATTTTTTGTTTGACTGTTTATTTGTAAAAGTGCTCAAGCTCTAAAAATCAGTTATCATTCATTCACTCTTTCATTGAGAGGTTAAAGGCTATGTAACATTATAAACACACGTCTAGTATCATATAATTTGCATCTAGAAGTCTCGGACCTGAAGTCGGAAAAAAGGATGCCAACACTAGTGTGCAGATTTAGAATAAGATATTTATGTTAACATAAATCCAATTGAAGTCTTTGAAGTCTCGAATTCTCTATTGAATATTTGAAATTGATTAAATATTTTCTAAGTCTTTTTATTGTTAAACCTAATTAACACAAATACAATTAATTTATTCACATTCAGCGTGTGTGTCCATTGTACGTTTACTATTTTGGGCCGGAAAGTGAGAATCACTGCAAAGACTCCAACTTCCGAAAGCATAATGACGAAGTGAGTGCCTATCGAATTTCATGTGTGTGTGTGTGTGTTTATGTCAGTTAAACAATATTTTAATAAATCTTTCAGAAAAAGAATGTAGCGCTAATTATACAGGGTCACAACTAAAACAATAAAACAACGTGAAGTAATGTATAAGATGTTAAATTTAAAACGCTGGTTCCTGTTCAGTTGGTAGTTGTTATTGCATACAAGAATAATGTTACTTTACCTATCTTTAGTTAAATACATAATAAATTTAGTTACATAGATTAAGGTTTCGATGAAAACTCAAATATATTTATTATATCTAAACGCAATAAGGTGACGTTGAAAATAATACTCTTTTTGTAACCTTCTTGGCATAAAAAGTATACAAAAAGACGTAACATATATTAATTTGATTTGATTTTCTGTCATTTGCAAGGTTATTATTATATAGTGCTACTAGTTTCTGTACTTGGTATTTTGGATTTTTGATCATCTTATACAACTACGACACTTGTTTTTAACGAAAACTTTAATTTGCATAATTTATAAGTAAGATATTTTTTCAGTGAGACGTAAACTCGGCAATCTGGATTTCGTTTATCACAGTTTTTCCTAAACAAACCTCTCCAACCGCTATACAGTCAATTTGATTTAATTCTCAAAGACATACTCAGCTTTTGTGACCGTTTTAGAAGCTTATTAAGGCTCAATGTTATCTTGTAGAAGAATCTAAATTGTTATGTCCTTTATATTATATTCCAAAACAGTAAAAGGTTTTATGTTGGAAAATATTATCTTAATTTCCTAAACCACTGAGTGTGCAAGGTAATTCGATTACTCGTATCTGACTTGTTTCATATTATTTCATATGTATTAGATACCACGCTCTGTATAACACACTATTTTAGTTTCTTTCTAGGGTACCGTTCATCTGATAAAATAATAATAACTTATTACCTATTATATTTTGTTGTTCTTTACAAACTATTTTAAATTCCGAACACATCGCAAATTTTTCATTTTCAATATAAAAATTTCCTATATTATATAATTCCATATATTGTTCATAATAATATATTAAACCAGACATTACATTCTTAGTTCACACCATTTTTTTTTAAAGTGCTAACTGTACACACATGACACACATGACTATAAAACATAACATTGAAATGAAACTTCGCTTAAAACTCTTGGAACATCTACAACCAATTATCATGAAACCTTATAAATAACGTAAGCCGTTCAAAACGTGCCTGAAAATTAATTTTATGTTTTAAAGCATCGGAGGGTACTCTTAGAAGTTGGTACAAGTCAATTCAACCAACACATATGTGTATGTATAGAATATAACTCGATTTTATTAACTTTCAGCACCCTTTCATCCCTAATTTTATGAAGTTCCATCTTATCTCTTGCTCCATTAGAACCATTTCGTATATGTGCGATGTTCCAGTTAAAAGTTGTGTCCTTTATTATTAAGAAGGTGTATGTACCCACAATGCATTTATTATATTATTTCAAAAACACCTTAAGTTCATACTTGTTCATACTCCATACTATCGCTAGTGACCAATAAAAGATATAGAGCGGATGATTTACGGTAAAACCACATTATTATAAGTTCTTAATTAAGAGTTGAAACACTACTTTCATGAGTAATATCGTCTTGGTGTAAAAAGTGATAAAGTTATATAACACCTATACAGGTTTAACACAACAACACATTTTATATTTGTCTGTCCGTTAGAAGGTTTTTCCATACAGGTGTACTTTAAAACCGTCCCTGAAGTATATAATTTGAATTGTATCCGACTTGTTGCAGCTTGACGAGATGGATGAGCTGTTGTCCCTCCGCGACGTACGCACCCCCGTCCGCCTACGCTTCGGCCGCCGCTCCGACGAACGCGCGGTACCCCACATCTTTCCCCAAGAGGTAAACAAAACATATACAATATTAATGGAATATTTTACCTCAATAGAACAATAATGTGATTCCTTACATATTTATACATCTCTCAGAAGAAACGTTAGCGAAGATTTTGTAATCTTTTGACGTTTTTGCGTTCATTCCATCAATAACATTATTATATTTTTATTAATTGGTCTAAAACAATATTATTAACCTAAAAGCCATGAAAATTTTGTTTAGAAACAACGAAACATTTTTTGAACGAGTAAGATCAGGTAGGATAATTCCAAAACTAGGTGTCCTGTGATATAAAGCTTCACGTATTATAATTGCATATATTTGAAGCGTCAAACTGGCTAAACTGTTTCAAGTTATAGCGCAACTTCATTTCACAACTTGCTTTATGGATAAAGTAAAATAAAAACATTTTAAGTTAAATAATAAGTAAAAGCTGTAAAAATATAATAGAATTATGAGTATGTATTATTTTTAATAATCTTATAAAAAATATGCTACACGGTTATTCAGAATGAGAACAAGATCCGTTGTGGATAATTATAGGATATTTCCGGCACCATTCAGAATAAGCATCTACACAATACGCGAACGGGTAATAATCTCACAAATTATATGAAACTCGGCGAAGACATAGAATTCAATATTTCCTTGTGGATTGTAAAAACATTAAGTTTGTAATATATATAACAAACGATGTCTTTATACTAACTCTTAGGTAGAATTAAAGCTTGTTGTTTGTTTTTCTCAGATTAACTTTCAACTGCTTTTTGAAATAAAATCTTGTAGTTAACCTATTATATTATTATTTATATAGTTAGTTATATATATTATATAGTTCACCTATTATATGATCAAAACAAAACTTTATTATTATAATAATGTATTACATTATAATCAATTAAAAACATAAAACAAATGCTTTGACCAGTTATACAAAATAACTCTCCTGGCAAATTAAATTTGAAATGGTATACAACCAAAAAACCGGTAAGCTTGAATAACAGAAACCAATACTTCTAGATTAAGAAATTTTAACGAAGTAGTATAAAGGTTATTGTAATATTTTTTAAGGAATAATAAAACCAAACACAAAAAAAAACAGCGCAAAATTCACCTTTCATAACTCTGAATACCTACAATCAGTTTCCTTTACGGTGTTAACATCTCCGTTATCTTATTGAATAAATGTTTACAACAAAGTTTTAGAAACTTGTATTGAAATTTAGACAAAGGTTGAAAAAAGTGGACATACTTATAAAAACCCAAAGATACGCTAAGAGGCTTTTCTTTAGGGTTAGATCCTATTGATTCGAACATCGTAAAACCTTTGATGCCGAATAAACCTATATAATGAAGTTATTCCCTCTAACAAGCCACTACGAGATCTTATACGCCAATTGACCAGTTTTATGTGCGACCTCTTTTATAAATCTGTCATACAGTACACTTTTTTAGAGGTTATGACGTAGCAAAATCATCAGCACTAGATGTATGTATGACAATGCCTGACCCTGAATTTGCGTTACGGGAAATATAAATTTAGTCTTACCATGTCCTTAAAATCTGTTTTTATGTTTTATTGTAGGAACATAAAGTCGACAATATAATTCAAAGGAAATAATTTTTTATTTAAGATATTGAGACGACGACACGTCAATTTAACACTCTTTCTTTTTTCATCTTCATTGAATTTTAACGAAAATAATGTAATTGAAAAAAAACCTAATATTTAATATTCTCACTTCACTGAATTACTCCACAGGACTGTCTCTGTATAAACAGTTGACAGTCAGGTATCAAGCTTGCAACCCTATTTCTATACTCTTAAAAATTATAATTGTTTGTACAACAGGAACAAGACCGTGCCGTACGTGCTCCCTCGATGCGCCTTCGGTTTGGCCGTCGCTCAGACAACAACATGTTCTTACTGCCCTACGAAGTAAGTTTACTTTACCATACTACGTAACTATAGATCTATAGACTATATACCTATATACTTAAGACCTATAGACTATAGACCTATATGCTACCTATAGACTTTTTGAAACAGAACTCATTTGTTCGAAGTTTTCCACAATTCCAAAACTTCTAATTTGAAAACAGTTAAAACTAGATGTTGAAAGTAAGTAAGTTAAAAATAAGGTTATAATGTACTTATTAAATATTATAAAAAACGAAATTCTGGTATGTTTAGCTAGTTAATAAAGTTTAAAACATTATTGTTATTTCTTATTTCTAACAAATCTTATTATAGGTAAAGAGATGATTTCGAAATGTGCTGAATTTATTTTTCACTCTACTAAATCTAATAAAAAACGAAAAATGTTTTTGTATAAATATATGTAAACCTAATATATAAATGAAGACGTTTCACTATTCTACTACAAAAATCACATGAGACATTCTTTACAGTCGACCCTGCCCAAGGAAGTGAAAGCCAACGGCTCCGTTGAAGACGATAGACAACAGGAATAAGCAACAATTCTGCATACAACTATATACACATAATCTCTCCGCTCCGTAAAAACTTCTATTAAAAACTTTAACCCATCTACATAAGTGTCATATTCAAATACTTACAATCGATTTTTAGATGTTATTGGAATAAATTGTAAGCTATGTGTACATAATAATCAGATAGTATACCTATTGTATGTTATTATTAAAGTGTTTCTTGTCCTTATTTTCCTTTCCTGAGCAGACTGTGATGATGAACTTATGGTCAAAACTGGTGACGTCAATGATGCATGATATTCTAGTCAAAACTAAGTAAGACTGTCTCGTTTTAGTTGATCTCTTTTCTGTTAGTTTTGTCACAACATTAGCGAAGAGTTATACATTTCTAGAGCTGGGCAAATGTAAAACTTCTCCGCTTACCATACTTCTACTTATTTTTAAATGTATCTCGATTTTATCATCAGTATTTAAATGGTCGTAGTGCAATAATGGCATAAAGTACATTATTTATACTAAGTGTAGTGAAACTATGTTTAGTTTTGTATAGATATTATAGTGCAATTGATGAGTTGAAATATAAAAATATTGCCAACGGATAATGTTGTTTTATTTACACTATCATCTTTAACAGATTCGAGTACTTTCTTTTTAAGCATAATTTCAAACTCCTGATCTGCGGCTGCACTCTGTCTAAAACAATTTACGAGGGCTGTATTCTAATATAATATAATAGCTACGTGAAAAACACATTGTGTATCTCTTTTTAATAAAATGTACCGCTCGGAGGAATGTATTAATTGGAAATCTTAAGTTTGTTAGAGGCAGCAGTGGCACAAAGTCAAATATTTAATTAATTTGATATGTAATTATGTGTGTGATACTATTATGCTTGAAACAAAAGCTTTTATGACAAAATATAGAAAGTGAAACTGCAAATTAATATTCTGAACATAATATATGATATAAATTGGACTACTAGGCGTTTACTAGTTAATATTAGAGTGTCACATGCGGGTCACAGAATACTTTTTAAGCGAAAATTGGAAAGAAACTTTGAGTCATCTCAACTATTCAGGTTTAAGATCGTTTATTTCTCACAAAGAATAACATAAACTATTCACTTACATGAGAAAATCAAATTACAGTTTCATTGATTTAGCTGTGACACAGAAAAAAGCAATTCAAACAAAATACCAACAAAATAATTTCTTACACAAATATAGTGATACAGAAAAAAGCAATTCAAACAAAATACCAACAAAATAATTTCTTACACAAATATAGTGAGGGTAACTTAAAAACATTATGCATTCCAAACATTTGTTCATCCACGTTTGCAGTAAATACAGCGATCGAGCGTGTCGTTATTATTAGTGTAAAGATCCTTCAAAAATAATCAGGTCTTGCAAGTCTATAACCATCTGTATGTATATATTAGATAAGTTATACAACATTGAACTTGAAAGCTATCTCTAGATTCTATGGTCGGTTTTGTCGGTCTGATGCAATTTTTTGATTTAACGCAGTAGGTACTTGTCTTCACTAACCTTCAAAAACATAATGGAAAACTCCGGGAGTTTCTTCTCCTTCGCTTCTTCTCTCTGGAAGTTGTATTATGTACCTAGTATCAAACTTAATGGAAAAAATATATTTAACATCATCATCATTATCAACAGCCTTCAATAGTCCACTGCTGGATATAGGCATATATTTAATATATTAAAGAATAAAGTAATTTAATCATAATAGACTCATCTAAAAACTGACTTATTATAAATATACATAATTTTCATGTCATTGTTTTAAACGGCCTAGACAACATACACTATTTAACTCTTGTAATATAATTATCGCCTAACAAGCTTTTTTGACCAGTGGAAGGCAATGAAGTGGAATGAATAATCACAGAGTTTGTGTTAAATTATCTATTAACTGTGGCGTAATCACGCGTGTAATCCTCTTATTACTAATAATTACTATGTTTTCTTTGTCGCATGGGATAGATAGAATGGTTACATGGAATCCGAATTTTTCACCTAGTGAAAGAAAACAATTGACAGCAAAAGAAAATGTTTATTCACTATCATAATAATTATTACTAAAAATACACATACAATTGCTCGTTCTGTGGGGGTCTCCTGAAATTAATGCAATAAACAATAAATAAATTATTTCTTAAAACATTCATTTAGGGTTGTCACCTCATAATTTATTTTTCATTAATTATTTTTTTAAAGTTATTACTTTATATAAACTGTGAAAAAAAATCAACTTCAAACAACAACAATCTTGTATCTTAAAAAACTTTAGAAGGTTGTAGTTCCAAATATAGGTTGGAGCTATGAAATTTGGACTTGTTTTTTTTTTCTGATGTATATTTTGATGAACTGTAACCATAGCAAAAACAGGATCCCAATTCTTCCTCATAATGGAATTAAAAAATAAAACCTAATACAACAAAAAAAAAAAAAATTTTTGTTGCAAACAATCATGTTTGTTAATACAATTTGTATTAACAAACATTTGTTGAATACAATTGATAATACAAACATGTCCTATAACCACCAAAAAGTGTTATTTTTCTTTAATACTTTAATGTCAAATATATTACGTTTAAATCAAAACTGTCACAAGGGATTTCTACTCTTCCATTGAAAACAATTTCGTTTATCGATAGATGTAAATATAATTAGATGTAAATTTTTCGGCCAAAAACCATAATGTGCGATCGTGGGTCTGTAGTCTGGGAATCTTTAGTCCTCAGGTTATGTCAGGTATCAGGTATATCTGAAGACATAGAAGTGTATATCTGCAAAATACTGATAGAAACTGTCTGCAATAAGGGTATGTGAAGTAGTTGTCTATGGATATGTAGGAGTATGTATATTTATTTTGGTAATCAATTAAACCATACAAAAAATAAAAACGCTCAAAAAAGAAAACTCCATCGTGCCAATGTTGTTACAATGAAAAGGCACTTACTGTCAATTTTATACAATAACCTATTTACGAGTATTATTACGCCGTATATTCAGAATGAAAGGATATATAGTATAGGCGTGTCACACGTCACCTCATATTTTTCATATTTCTTTGTTAAAAGTTGTTTAGAAAAAGTGGTAGTCATTCCAATTTCAATGAAACTAGCTAAAATGAATTACGAGGCTATTGTTATTACATGAAAATCTTGACGGTACTTCTATACTGTGTGTATAAGAAAATAAAACAAAATGCATGCTTTTATTAGTCATGAAAATATTTTTATTATCAACTGTGGCACTAATAAATATGAAACATTTGGGTAAGTTTTGACCAAAAACTTAAAAAATAGAGAGAATACAAGGAAACGAAATAAATACAATTTTAAAAGTAACTAAAACAAAGAATTGTTTTACAAAATATATTATTATGTCAAAATAAAAGTTACTTATGGAGAATACCTACTCGTTTTTATTTATTTATTCAATGTTAGTCTCTACTCCACAATTACAAATAAAAATATAAACATCTGAAACATTTTAAAATTACAAATGAAACATCAAACAAGTTAGCGTCTTTTGAAATAATCGTTTGTCATGTCAACACATACAAACAAATTATTCCAACATATTCTATTATTTTGTTCTACGTGTCAGTCTCATAAAGTCGGTGTTCACTTGCGCCGCGATACGAATAATTATAAGTAGAACTGATTTTGAATAACATTTGAAATAAAGAGCATTCATATTTCTTTGATAAGGTGTGACGCGGGATGCCAAAATGTGCTGTGGTTTGTTTATGCGAGAAATGTGAGAGCTACGTGTATAAAAATGATAGAAAAAAAACATTTCTAAATTATTAAGTATAAAATACAATGTAAAACTTGGCAATGTGGTCGGGTCACACACAATGTAGAGTTCTGTAATTGTAAACTTCAACAAGGTATTTTTAATGAAATTATTAATGTAAGAAAATTTAACAAGTTAACAGACTAGCACTTGTTAATCCTCCTTAGCTGTGTTTGTTTTTGTAACTTCATAATATTAATAACAATCATATACTTAGCTTAGTATCCCTCAAATTTTGTCCCTTCGAATATTAGCACTTCGAAGCTACTATTTCATAAATGGACCTGAATCAGAAATATATACCAATATCCGCACTATCTTTAAAATTCCTATTCAATTAGACAACACTATAGGATATATAAGGATGAAAATCCTCTCCAATTTACCTTAAGGAAAATCTTAAACACATTTTAAATTACCTAGGAGTGCCACATTTTACGTTTGTTATACACATATAAATAACAATAACTTTCACATAGCCATCAGATTAAAAATAAAGCAGAGCCTGTGTTAACCAACCTGAGATTAAAGCTACCTATGTATTTTTAAATACACACATATTGTAGATGTTTTTTTTTGTCTGGTATAAGGGGGGCAAACGAGCAGACGGGTCACCTGATGGTAAGCAACTACCGCCGCCCGTGGACACCTGTAACTCAAAAGTCACAAGTGCGTTGCTGCCCTTGGAGTCCCTCCAGCTCAAGACAGCGGAAGGGGGGATTTAAGGTCCGGTAACCTCACTCACTCAGTGAAAGGCAACGAAAGAATTGCTTAACACCAGTTTTCTATTTTCTATATCACAAAATTATTTGTCCTGGGTGGGATTCGAACCCAAAACCTTTGTTTTAGTCGTCGGGTTCTGACAGCTAAAATAATTTAAACAATTAACGTTTAGACTGGCAGAGGAAATATATATTTAAAACATTGACCCTGGATAAGGTTTGTGTAAATTTTTATCTTATTGTAAGATAATAGCCAAACATAGGAAGAGATATCAACCGTGTCCACGGCTTTGGTCTACGTGTGAGGCAATTCAAAGGTATGTGTATTTTTAAAGATATAGAGGGCAAACGGATCACCTGATGGAAAGTGACTGACTCCACTTGCAACTCTGGAATCAGAAGTGCTTTGCCGGCTTGAAACTTACCTATTAAAACATACATATAATTTAAATTTAATTGTTTTGGTCTC